AATCGGTCAAAGAGGGGTTTTTACGCAACTGGGATGAGAGCTAGACTGAATTATTTACGAGTAAAGGGTTTCTTTGGATGTTCTAAAGGCTTCCCGTGGCGACTTGTATGCAAATCGACGTTTAGAAATGGGCGAAAACAATAGTATAATAAAAAAGGGAATAATCCAAAAATCAATTTAAAGGTCAATTTTATCGTTTGGGTTAGGGTAAGGGTTAGAGTGGAGAACGGAGTTATATGTAAAATTGCCTCCCTGACATTTTTTATCAGATCTTCAAGTTAGATTTACACATCTGTTTCACATTTTCTGTCGGATTTGTTTTCCGGGCTGATCAAAAATCACGTGCGGAAGATAATCAATTGACGCGTCAAAATTTCATAAAATGTCGTTACTAGCAAGGTTTTGTCGTCCTGCATCACGTACTCTCCGACCAAGAGTCGTTTTCCTAACTTCGCAAAAAAAGAACCAGAAAAGCCAAGTCTACGAATGAGTTCCCTTCTGCTGATGATTCAGATACGATTTACCTTCCTCCTTTGGCATTTAAGTTCTTAAAAGAAGATATGGAGACACTGAGAGCGAGCTTCAGTTATGTAGGCACGCAGGAATCTAAAACTGACTCACTCGTAAACTATATGCTACTTCGCGCTGTTTGGCCATTGGAAGTTACGTGAGTAATAATAGAAATGTCCTATTTGTTGTTTGCATTACATCAAAACCTAGAATGAAGGTAGAATACAAGCCATTCATTAGTGATAAGACTGACTTTGTAGTGAATAAGAAGCGAATTGCTATGATAGTTGTGAAGGTCTGTGTGTTTTCGATTATTGACGAGCCTATATTTTTTGACGACTCAAAAAGCTTTTTCTTAACAGGATAAGCATTTGATAAACATAAAGGCAAAGACTGATTTCGGGAAAGCGCAAATTCTTGCCGAAATACTCGCCGTTGCAGATGTAAATACAACCGAAAAAGTTACGGATCAGACTCTATTCGCCGTTCGCGTCATCTCCACATATGTTACATTTTACAAGGTAGTGGTTCCTGAAGCATATATAAATGAGCTTGGTAGAGGTTTGCCAAAAATGAAGTCAGTTTTGGTCCAACGATGGCCGGGGCAAAATGGTTTGACGACTGGTTGGAATCTTGCAGAACCAGAGGGGAGAAGGGCTGTGCTTACTGCATTAGTCAAAATTCGCTTTCTCATCAATCCACGAAAATTTCGGCATATTAGAAAAAATCGTAATCGTAGGCACGTGTCTTGTTGCTGTAAAATTGCTGTGGCTTATGTCACACCTGATTTTCGTCACATGCCTCAGAATTTGGCACAATATAACGATTGCGGATATAATCAAGCAAATTCGGAGACTCTTCTTCCGGAATTTTATCTGGATCTAAAGATCACGCATTAATATCTCTTCGATTTTTATTCATATTCTCACTCCAGTCTTCAAGGAACATCGCGACCAGCACATTACATCGTATTACATGATGGAAATAAATTTAATGTAGATACCCTTGTTATAATTATCAACGTGGGACGCAATCAGTTTTCTATTCCTCCAATATACTATGCGCACTCGTCCGCCAGACAAGCACGCACCAATGCAATTCTAAAAGGAACTTATGAACTTCGGCCAGTGCTTCCGACGCTTGCGCAATGTACTCCATATGAGTTCACATATTTTTCATATCACATCACATCACATCATATTGATATCACATCACATCATATTGATATCACATCACATCATATTGATATCAAATCACATCATATTGATATCACATCACATCATATTGATATCACACCACATCATATTGATATCATATCATATCATATCACATAACATCATATCACATCACATAAACTGTGTAGTACCAAGTACAACAAAGCAGGTTATTTATGCGTGCATCTATGTAGAGTGCATCTATGTACACCCCAATCCGTTTTGGTTAGATCAAATAACAGCCAATAAGAATGCATAAATTTTTGAT